GTTCTTTGCTGTGCATTTGACACTTAAAGTAATCTCCTTCTTCTGTACACTAAGTAGTCCTAAACCTATGTCCCCGCTTAGGACAATCCCCTAAACCTTCACTATCCTAACTGAATGAAACATCAAGTCTATTTGGGATGTAATGCATACAGGTTTTGCAAGACAGCAAGACAAAATGAGCATTTTCCCCCTATAGCCATTATAGCAGTCTCTGCAGAAAATATTAGACATAGACTTTCCCAGTATATAGTAGCTACTACAGTAGCTGGGAAGGTAGTAGACAGATGTTAGTGATGGTCAATCATGCAGGGCAGGAGGCCAGAGATAAAGTCTGCCAGAGACTTAAGGTTTTTCTCTGTATATAAAGAGATGTGCAGGGGGGAAACATCCTCTTCTTAGCAGGACACAGTTATGTCAGAAAGTGACAACTGGAACTGCTGCAATCACTAGGTAACCTTGAAGGGAAGCCTGTTCACATGATGAAGACAGTTGAATAGAAAGACTGTAAGGACTTAGGTTTTTTTATGATGTTGGGGAACCATCCTATACTGTCTTGCTTCTGGTTGACTCCACATGTGAGAGGACAGATATTACTTTTGGAGCCACCAGCAGATTCAGCATTCACTGTAATCTATTACACTTACTCATATCTATTTGTGCCAGTAACTTCTTTCCTTCATCTAACAATATACTCATTTTAATCTTCTAAGGGTATAAACCAAAACCAATTAGGACTAAGCTGATTGTAATGCCTACTCTTAAAGGAACCTGTCACTTCAAAATGTTTTAAGTTGTATTATCACCTTCTTGCAAATTATCCCAAAATAGAAAAGGAAAACCTCAAAGAAAGAGAAGCAAGTACAAATAAATTTATAGTAAATTACAAAAGTTAGGTTGTTGGTAAGGAGGAGATTTTTAAGCCCCAAATGTTGTGATACAAACCCCAATTGCTGTTACATAGGTCTCTGATATTTTTTTATTTGAAAAGAAAAAAGGTAGGTCAGTAACAGTAAAGTAAGCTTTATTTATTTATTATTATTATTATTTTAAAGATTTATTTATTTATACAAGTACCGGGGTACAGGCCAGATGCATGGGAGGGTGAGAGGATTCACCAGAGACAGAGCGGGTAACGGAACAGGCAGACACTGCTGAGGGGAGCAGCGGGCGAGACAGGAGAGGTCTGCTGCACCATGTGGGATTCTCGCCGGCCAGCGGGATCGAACCCACACTGCAGAGGCTGCGGACAGCTTCACAGTGCGGCGCTCAACTGCCTGTGCCACCAGGGAGGCCCCTATTATTATTTTTTAAAAGATTTATTTATTTATGCATACAAGAACTGGGGTACAGGCCAGAGATGCGGGGGTGAAAGGATTCACCAGAGACAGAGTGGGGAACAGAACAGGCCGACTGAATGAAATACACTGCTGAGGGGAGCAGTGGGCGAGTCAGGAGAGGTCTGCTGCGCCATGAGGGTTGCCCCCTGGCTGCAGATTGAACTCTTGCTGGAGTGGCTGCGGATGGCTTCATAGGCTGCATCTTAACCCCTTCCGCCACCAGGGAGGCCCATAAGCTATACTTATATTTGCCTCAAAATAGTAGGAGAAAAGGCATGTTGTATGATACCTAAAATTTTTTCACTACAAAAACTTTCAAATGAATGAAAAATTTAAAGTATAATGAACACTCATGTACCTTCCATGGAGGTTTAACTGTTAATATTTTGCCATTTTGGTTTAATTTATATAGGTAAGTATTTTTATTCTGAATTTTTTTTAAAGATTTATTTACTTATGCATACAAGAACTGGGGTACAGGCCAGAGGTGTGGAGGGTGAGAGGTTTCACCAGAGACAGACTGGGGAGCAGAACAGGCAGACTGACTAAAAACACTGCTGAGGGGACCAGCGGGCGAGGCAGGAGAGGTCTGGTCTGCTTTGTCATGTGGGTCACCTCCCTGGCCAGGGATCGAACTCGTGTGGCAGTGGCCACGGATAGCTTCATAGGCTGCCTCTTAACCCCTTGCGCCACCAGGGAGGCCCCCCTATTCTGAATATTTTAAAGTAACTGAAGACATCATGATCAGAGTCATATTATATTAGCCTTGGTTTTCTCTTTTTTCTTTTTTAAAGATTATTTATACAAGAACCGGGGTACAGGCCAGATGTGCGGGAGGGTGAGAGGATTCACCAGAGACAGAGCAGTTAACAGAACAGGCAGACTGAATGAAATGCACTGCTGAGGGGAGTAGCGGGTGAGACAGAAGAGGTCTGCAGTGCCATGGGGATTCCCGCCAGCTGGCTGGGATCAAACCCACGCTGCAGAGCCTGCGGACAGCTTCACAGTGCGGTGCTCAACCGCCTGCGCCACCAAGGAGGCCCCTAGCCTTGCTTTTCAATATCTTCTTTTCTAAATATATTAAATAAAAGCCCCTTTTCATTGTAAGGATTTTATGAAATCCCTAAAAAGATTAACGAAGAAAATAATTATACCCATGTTGTTTGAAAGCAATACTTTCAATGTAAGAGAAAAGAGGTTTAACTGTAAAATCAAAGACATTAATAAAACCCCTGAAATATTAACTTTGAATTATAATCATTAGTATTCTTGATTTTTTTCCTCAAAAATAAGACACACATACACACACACACACACACACTGTCCACTATAAAGGTCAAGTAACATTAAGAAATAATAGCACTATAGCAAAGAACTCTCCTAGTAATCTTTGTTATGGACTCTAAATACCATATCCTATTAAGAGAAATCAAGGCTTGTTGGAGGTATGGATGATTTCAGGACTCAGGCAGGAAAATATATAAGACTACTAAAAAATCTTGGTTTTGACAGCAAGGAAATTCTAAAAGACTAAAGAGGTCATAGCAAAAGAACATATGCGCCAACATGAAGGGGCCCAATGACCAAAGATGAGACAATTAGAGTATCACAGAACATGATGACTTAAATTGAAACACCATAAGTGTTTCACATAAGTTCCTACTGAAATTTGTAAGTGCCCTCTCTTAGCCCAGAAGCAAGCAACAAATTACCATAGGGGTATGCAGGCCATCAACTCCTTATTCTGAAAATGGTAATTAAGGAAAGAATTAAGCATTTATCTTGTTTTATGGATAAAACTATATATTGGGGTAACTAGCCCCAGTTGATAAGTAAAGATCTGCTTTATAGAAGAATTACAGCTAAATGCATTTAGAAATCATGGGGCATGTAGAAACTCATCATTTGCAACTTGCAGTTAATGACTCAAGTAATATTTATTCATATTTCATGAAAGGTTGATGAGGGTCTTTAAAAGGAAGGTAGCAACCATTGCCATGTGAACTCACTGATCAAACCTTAGAATCAGTATAGTATAAGTGATAGTATATGTCTCCTGAAATCATGCAACCTGAAGTACAGTTGTCCTTTGAATAACATGGGTTTGAACTGTGAAGGTTCACTTATATGTGGACTTTTTTTCAATTAAAAAATAATTTACTGGTTGTTGATCAACATTTTTTGATTGATGTTTTAGTTTTAGTTTATTTTCTCGACTTTAAAATATGCTTGATAACATTTTTTCTCTAGCTTACTTTAAGAATACAGTATATGGGGCCTCCCTGGTGGCACAAGGTGTTAAGCACCACACTATGAAGCAATCTGCAGCCTCAGCAGCACGAATTCAAGCCTGGGCTGGCCAGGGAACAACCCACATGTAGCGGGAGAGACAGGAGAGGTCTTCTATGCCATGTGGGTCACCTCCCTGGTGACAGAACAGTTAAATGGAGAATATGAACCAACTATAATGCATGGATCTTGTTTAGACTCTGATCTGAATAAACCAATGCAGGGCCCTCCCTGGTGGTGCAAGGGGTTAAGCACAGCACTATGAAACAATCTTCAGCCTCTGTAGCATGTGTTCGATCCTTGGCCGTCCAGGGAGCAACCCACATGGCGCAGCAGACCTCTCCTGACTCGCCTGCTGCTCCCCTCAGCAGTATACCTCAGTCGATCTGCCTGTTCTGTTCCCCACTCTGTCTCTGGTGAATCCTCTCACCCTCCTGCACCTCTGGCCTGTACCCCCCAGCTCTTGTATATATAAATAAATAAATCTTTAAAAAAAATGAACCAACCAATGCAAAAATACATTTTTGAGCTACCTGAGGAAATTTCAATACAGACTGGATGTTGGAGGATCTAGGAATTGCTGTTAATACTAATTTTGTTAGATGCGATGATGATGATGTGGCCATATGAAAAAGATAACCACCACCTTTTAAAGAGATGTAGTCCTAAGTATGGAGGGTGAAACAACCCGATGGCTACGTTTTCTTGAAAATATTTCATACATAGGGGCCTTATATATTTCATACATAGGTGGCACAAGGGGTTAAGCACAGCACTGTGAAGCTATCCGCAGCCTCTACAGCAGGAGTTTGACCCCTGGCCGGCCAGGGAGCTACCCATATGGCGCAGCAGACCTCTCCTGTCTCACCTGCTGCTCCCCTCAGCAGTGTATTTCAGTGGATCTGCCTGTTCTGTTCCCCACTCTGTCTCTGGTGAATCCTCTCACCCCTGACACCTCTGGCCTGTACCTCAGTTCTTGTATACATAAATAATGAATAAATACAATTATTCCATACATAAAAAATGGTAAGTGGGGATAGACGCAAGTTCAGTAAGGATTGATGACTACTGAGATTAGGTACTAGGCATAAGAGGATTCAGGATACTGTTCTTTATACTTTCAGTATTTTTGAAATGTTATAACTTTTTTTAAAGATTGAAGAGAAATAGCTATCTTAAGACACAAAATCTGAACAGAAGTTGAAAAAATGTATTTTCATTACACCATCATTTAAAAACAAATGTGAAACTATTTTAAGTTGACTTCTCAAATAAGATGTTCTTATCCACCCACATTAGCTTTTTTGTGTCTTTTGAGTGTACCACTGCATATTTTTTGCCAATGAATTTCAACACAGTTAAAGGATAAGTTACCTGTTGTCAATAATCAGCACACTGGAGGGTGGAATCCCCAAGACGTCGCAGCTCTGCAAAAGCTCTTTTTTACGAATCTCCCCTTGATTGTAGTAATTTCCTAAGGATAACAAATATATAGAGATAAGTTTCTTTAAAAGTGAAACTATCTATTCACTTATTCTTATCTTGCTCACTAAAGGAATTAAGCTACTTGAAAAATTTGTGGTTATGATAAAAAGTTGAAGAAAATACAGTACTAAGATTACTCTCAGATATTCCTGTGAAGCTACCAGTAGCACAGATCTTTTGAATCACCATTCAGTTCTTTCCCATCTCTATAGTTACCATGTTTGTTGGTTTGCATTTTAGTCACATTGTAGGCAGCATGGTGTATCACCAAAAGCAACTGATTTAGGATTGACTCTTGTAAAACCACTCATAACAAGAAGTGGGGTTCCTGCCACACTATTAATTTGGACTCCTTTATATTGAAAAAAAAAGTCCTGAAATATTTGTTACATACTTATTTTAAAAAGAGGCAGCATCCTGAATATTATAGGAAAATGCCCAGGCATCATTCAGGAAAATATACTCCTTTGAAAAGCTTAGCAATTCTAGTATGATTGTGGGGGATCTCGACCACACTGGCACCCCAAATAGATTAGTCTTTATTTTCCTATTATACATTTAAGAATAGTTCTGGTAAGTACAATTCATCTGTATCTTTACAAATATTATACAATGAAGCTTTGTTACCACTTAACTTGCACTTATATGTGCAAATGTCTAATATACTACTTAATTAAATTTTGTAGCAGATAATTGCTTGTGTGATTTGTGCACATAACTTTTCTGAGCCAGTCTCTCCACTTATAAGCTGTGAACAGAAGTTGAAAAAAATCCTTAGGCTTTCCTGGGGATTAGATGATAATATGTGAAAGTTCTTTTCTCAGTTTCTTTACCTTTACCTTCCTCATACTCTTCTTCCTTTCTTCCTGAATTTCAATTCAGTTTCATAAACCAGATCAGATGACATTTCCTGTGGGAAAGCCTTCTCCTAATTTCCCTGGCAAATAGTCACTTCCAGTATTCTGTTCCTAAGTATAAACATTTCTCCATGATTGGATTATTAATTTCCTAAATGTCACTGACTTTAAGTCAGTCTCACTCAACTTTGGTGTCCAGCACACTGTAAGCACTCATGCAGGACTGAACAAAGAGAGGTCCACTTACTGTCCCAGATATCTTAGAGAAAAACTCCTTTGTGAATCCTTTAAACTTTGGCAGGGTTTTCTCCAGTGCTAGTTTTGAACTGTTTGAACCCAGTTAGTAAAGCCATTATATTATATCCAACAAAGGGATGAACCCCCTAAAAAGGGATTCCCCCCTTTTTTAAAATCAGATAGAGACTTACAGATTATGGACATTACATTTTAGTTTCCTCCATTCCCATACGCATACCCTCTTTTACTTTGTTCCAAAGTTATTTGATCTTTGGCGACAGAGTCTAATATACTAGTGATGTGATTATTAAGGTAAGATGCTGTGCACATCAGACTCATTAGGGTTTAAGAAACTACTTAGAATTTGGTCTGATGTGCTCATGGAGGTTTTTACTGCTCTGTGTTTGAATTAAGGATTTAGGAATATTAAGGATTTAGAAATATACAAATAATGGGAGCATATGTTTCAAAAGTTTTTACAAATAGGAAAATGTGACCAAAAAGTTTGGAGGTCATTTTTCTAGAAAACAAAATCAATGGAATGTAGATTTATTTATATAGAACTACATCACATGGGCCTCCCCGGTGGCGCAGCGGTTGAGCGCTGGGTTGCGAAGCTGCCCGCGGCCTCTGCGGCGCTGGTTCGATCCCCGGCTGCTCCCCGGCCACCGGAGGAAGATCCCACATGGTGCGCAGACCTCTCCTGCCACCCGCTGCTCCCCTCAGCAGTGTACTTCAGCCCCTCTGCCTGCTCTGCTCCCCGCTCTGGCTCTGGTGAATTCTCTTACCCTCCCGCGCTTCTGACTGTACCCAGTGCATGTATAAACAAAACAAACAAATATAATAAATAAATAAATAAATAAAACATGCCTCTATAAAAAAAAAAAAAAAAAAAAAAAGAACTACATCACATGTGTATAAACTCATGCAAATGGTATGCTTAGTGGTCTTTTGTCTTCCAATAACATACTTCTCAGTAATAATTAGCAATCATAATCACATGATAGAATTTAGTCACTTTGTAAAGACCCACATTTACAAACCACAATGAATAAAGGTATAGTTTTAATTTAAAAATTTAATTTATTCATTCTAAATAGGCAAAGAATTTGCATAAAAACAGGAACAAATCATATATATAGCAAAGAGAAAAAGTCCCTTTCCTGTTCCTTTGGTTATCCAGACCTCAATTTTTTTATTTAAGATTTTATTTATTTTTGTGTAGAAGAACTGGGGTGTAGGCCAAGTGGGGGTGGTGGTGAGAGGATTCACCAGAGACAGTGTGGGGAGCAGAACAGGCACATCTACTAAATACACTGATGAGGGGAGCAACAGGCGAAACAGGAGAGGCCTGCTATGCCATGTGGGTTAGCTCCCTGGCCAGGACTGAACTCAGGCCATTGCGATGGGCCTTTGCAGGGGTGGTAGCACTGAGACTTAACCCCTAGGCAACCAGGGAATGCCCAGACCTCTATTTTGGAAGTTTTAACTTATCAGAATTGAATTTATTATATTGGTAATCAAGGCATTGTGTTTTGAATACCTGGTGTTCTACTAATTTCATGAATCTGAAGAAATTCCTTAAGTTTCTGGAATGCTAGCAAGATTTTTCCCTGAACACGACCAAGCTATTCTAAAATGTAGGTGGAAGAAAAAGGGTGAACCATTTCTTAAATATAAAAGAGTGGTATTTCAGTTCTGTACTGGTTAGAATCTATGCAGGAAAACAGAAACTTTATCAAATATTGATATGTCCATCTGCTAAAATGGAATGCAAAGAAGTTGATGCATAACTGATGGAGGGTTTTAGGGTGAAATAGGGAACCTTGAGTGAATCAACCCAGAGATTAGAGACAGCAAGAAGAAACTACTAATCCTAAGGTGGAGAGATAAAAGGGGCTAGTATTAGTAGAGTCCAAAGGTCTTGGTTCCTCAAAGGAAGCTGAACCAAAAGATCCCAACCCTTTTCCATTAAAATGTATCCACAGAACTCAGTTGGAGAAACCATCCTTTAAAAATGAGGTCAGAATACAAAAATGCACAAAGCATTTGAACAGACATTTCTCCAAACATATACTAATGGCCTGTAAGTGCATGAAGATCATTAGGGAAATGTAAGTCAAAACCACAATGATGTATCATTTTTACATCCACTAAAATGGCTATTGGAAGAAAACTAAAAACCAAAGTAAAACGAAAATGGAAAACTGTAAGTGTAGAGGAGGTTATGGAGAAAATAGGACACTTGTGCATTGTTGGTAGGAAGAGAAAAATGGTCAGCTGCTGTGGAAGAGTTTAGTGATTTCTCAAAAATTTAAGCATAGAATTTCCAGATAATACAGCATTTCTACAGCTAGTTATTGTTCATAGCAGTAGTATTCACAATAGCCTAAAAATGAAGACAACAATCCAAATGTCTATAAACAGGTGAATGAATAAATAATGTGGTGTATACATACAATGGGGTATTACTCAGTTATAAAAAGGAATGAAGTTCTGATAATGCTACAGTATGGACGCACTTTGAAAACATTACGCTAAGTGAAATAAGTCAGACATAAAAGGACAATTACCAATTTCCATAACAGAGTGGAACATTTGTTATAACTGATGAAACTATATTGACATCAAAAGTCCATAGTTTGATAGAAGAAAGTGAAAATCAAAATCAACAAAAAACTATGAACCAGAGACACTCTATGGGGGGTGGGAGGCGGGGAGGGGAGGGATTGGGGTCAAAATAAGGGGGTTGCAATTGTATGGGGAATATAAAAATAAAATTTATTTAAAAAAAAAGAAAGTCCATAGTTTGGGCCTCCCCGGTGGCACAGCGGTTGAGCACTGGGTTGGGAAGCTGCCCGCAGCCTCTGCAGCACCGGTTCGATCCCCGGCCACCGGGCGAGGGTCCCACATGGCACACAGACCTCTCCTGCGGCCCGCTGCTCCCCTCAGCAGTGTACTTCGGTCCTTCTGCCTGTTCTGCTCCCCGCTCTGGCTCTGGTGAATTCTCTCACCCTCCTGCGCTTCTGACTGTACCCAGTGCTTGTATAAATAAATAAATAAATCTTAAAAAAAAAAAAAAAAGTCCATAGTTTACATTCAGCTCACTCTTGATGTTGTTCATTGAGTTTAGACAAATGTATAATGACATGTATTCACCATTATAATATAATAGATTTTCATTGCCCTAAAAATTCTGTGCTTCCCTTCTCCTCCTGGTAACCATTGAAAATTTAATTATCTCCAGTTTTGCCTTTTCCAGATTTTCACATAACTACATATAATATGTAGCTTTTCTGATTGGCTTCTTTTGCTTAGAAATATTCATCTAAGTCTTCTCCATGATTTTTCGTGGTTTGACAGGTAATTTTTTTTTTTTTTAATTTTTTTTTTTATTTTAAACATACTTTTTTTTTTTTTTTTTTAAGATTTATTTAGTTATTTATACAAGCACTGGGTACAGTCAGAAGCGCGGGAGGGCGAGAGAGCCAGAGAGGGAGCAGAGCAGGCAGAAGGACCGAAGTACACTGCTGAGGGGAGCAGCGGGCGGCAGGAGAGGTCTGTGCGCCATGCGGGACCCTCCTCCAGTGGCCGGGCAGCAGCCGCGGATTGAACCAGCGTTGCAGAGGCTGCTGGCAGCTTCGCAACCCAGCGCTCAACCGCTGAGCCACCGGGGAGGCCCTGACAGGTAATTTTTTTTTTTTTTTTTAGCAATGAATATTACTTCATTATATGGATGTAGCAGTTTATCTATTCATCTACTGAAGGACAGTTTGCGTGCGTCAAAGTTTTGACAATAATGAAAAAAGTTGCTGTGAACAGCTTTTCCTGTCAACGTAAGTTTTCAACTCCTCTGGGTAGAGATCAAGGAGTATGGCCCTTGAATGGTATGGTAAGAGTATGTTTAGTTTTGCAAGAAATTGCTAAACTGGGCCTCCCTGGTGGCGCAAGGGGTTAAGACACAACCTACGAAGCTATCCGAAGCCACTGCAGCACAAGGAGATACCCACATGGCACAGCAGACCTCTCCTGACTGACCCACTGCTCCCCTCAGCAGTGTATTTCCAGTTGATCTGCCTGTTCTGTTCCCCACTCTGTCTCAGGTGAATCCTCTCACCCCCCACACATCTGGCCTGTACCCCAGTTCTTGTATGCATACATAGCATTCTAAAATGGCTATACCATTTTGCATTTCTACCATCAATGAATTGAGTGTCTGTTTTTCTACACCCTTACCAGCATTTGGTGTTACTAGTGTTCTGGATTTTAGCCACCCTAATATGTGTGCAGTGCACACAGATTTTTAAAATTTTTGCTAAATGAAAAATTAACATTAAGATGAAAAGAATATAGAATAGTATAAATTGTAATTTTTGTGAAAAATCTGTATGGAAAAAAGAACTGGACACACAACCAAATGGGAAACGAGATCATGGGCATTTGAAAAAAATTTTTATTGAGGAATACTTTCACATACCACAAAATTCACCAATTACATATGTACACTGCAAACACTTCATTTAGACAATTGCGCAATTGTCACCATAATCCAGAATCATGGTCAATTTTTGTTTTCTCTTTTGGTCTTTTCTGTATTATCTGAATTCTTTGAAAAGCCCCTTTACTGAAAAATTTGGGGGGTTAAGCTACAAAACTACCTAAAAAATTATAGTCTAATGATCTGAACCTATATCTTCAAATTGACATATGCTTCCTTCTACCGTAAAACGGATTTTAAATAAATAAAGTCCTTTGCTATAGTCAGAAATAAAACATTTTAGGGTTAACCATATACAACAGATTCTGTTGGGTGTATACAGCAAGATCATTATTCTTGATCCTTCTGCAAATAAAAAAGCTTCCAAGGATAATAAACACAGTCGCAATTCTCACCGCACATATGAGGTAACTGAATGTATAAACAGATAGGAGTTCTCTAGTGCTCCTCTATCCTGCTATCAGAGTGGAGTAAGACAGTCGCGGACTGCCACTCCTCAAACAACTCACCTGGTAAGCTAGCTGCTACTGTCATCAAGGCTGGGACCACCGATTCTCTGTGAAGTGCCCAGAGAAAGACCCGGTGCATTCATTTTGTTCCTACAACACAGAACCCTTACAGAAGTGCATCGACATAGCTAGGTACCTAAATCCCCTTTACAGCCGCGGCTCCCAGGGCCCCGCCTACAGCCTCCTACCTGCTGAGAAGCAGAGCAAGGACATCCGGTGCCTCAGGCGGGCCAAGCCTAACACTGTGGGAGCAAAGAACATGGCTTCGTCGTCGGGGTGCGCGATCACCAGGAGGGTCCGAGTTCCGCCTCCCAGCAGGCCAGCCTGCTCTTGACTCTTCATTCGTTCCGAGGCGTCCCAAACCCAGAGGAAACCCCATGCCAGGACCAAGGCGGCCACCAAACCCAGGACCCCCACCACTTCCATGCGCCAGCGGCACCGCGACTGCGCAGTAGGGAAGATGCCGCTGACGCCGACTCCGGCGGGAAAACTGCAGTCGCGGAAATTGCGTTCCGAGTCTCAGTCAGTCCTATCGACCGGCTGCAGTGGCTCGAGGCAGAAAACGTCGAGTTCATGCGGTAGCTTTACACAGACGCCTCCCATCACGTCTTTTACGAATTCTTTCCACGCTATGCAGCATTAAGTCCTGTTCCTGCTCGATTTCAGAGCCGAACCGTTAAACCTTCACTGTACAGTTTGCTAACATTGTCCTGTGTTAACACTACAACGGGTTTAAAACAGCCCCTCGCATCTTTAGCAAGCGTTCTCTCCTAGCTTCACCATTTTATAACTCATCTCTTCAACCGCGGGATTTTCCCGTAATTACATGATTAGACCATCCCTTACCCGGAGGAGGCACCGACTTTGTCTTCCCGTCTTAATTTGGGGACGTGGAACGGTGGCTTCTCTAAAGTTAAAGCATGCGCTTACAAAGAACCGCGAGGTCACTTCAGCAGAAGAGTGAGGCTCGGCGGGCTCTCGGTACTCGCCAGGGCCACAGGCTCCTCGGTCGAGAGACTTTAGATTAAGGACCGACATCACGAGCACATCAGCCTCGCCAGACACTTCGCGAAGTCTCGGTGCGAATTACAGCCGGAGCCCTGACAATACCGGGTAGGTGGCCGCGCACGCCTCTGGCCCCGCGCGTGGGGGCTCAGGCGCCCTTCCCGCAGTCCCGGGCCCCGGAAGGCCGCCGCAGTCCCGCCGCGCCGCGCCGCAGAGGGGTCGCAGGGCCAGACCCTAGCTTTATCCCATTTTCTTTCCCACGCCCGGTGGAAGACCCCGGGGGCAACGGGAGCCGGTGGACGGCCCAGCCCGGGTGCGCGATGGCGGCGCGCTGGCTCCGCCCGAGCACGGCGCTGCCCGGGTCCGACTCCGGTCGAGGGGACCGCCGCCGCCAGACCGAGAGAGGTGTGGGGACCCGGCGCCGGGGAACCCTGGCAGCTCCGCCAAGGTAGGAGCTACGCTCGGCCAGCGGAGGGAGTCGGTCTCTTAACCTCCGGAAGGAGGAGGAGCCGGCACCGGAGCCGCCTTAGCCGCGGCCGCCCGGGCTGGGAGGAGGGAGAGGGGTTGAGTCAAGATGGCGGCCAAGGTGGCGAAGCAGCAGCGGCGGCGGCAGCGGCTGCTGGAGTGAGCTCCCGGCTCGCCGCGCCGAGCGAGGTCCCCGGGTGGGGACGCGCGCCAGGGCCGCGTCCTGCCCCTCAGACCGGGGGGCGCGCCGCCGTCCACGCTCCGCCAGCTCCCGGTGAGTAGGCCCGGGCGCCCGCTGCCCCGGCCTCCTGGCCACCGCTCGCCCGGGGTTTCCGAGGCTCCCCCGGCACTGGCTGCCGGAGCGGCTTCTCCGCGGGCGAGGGCCGTCGCGGGCCCGGCTGGCCGGGACCCGCCCCAGCCGCCCGGCCTCTTCCCCTCGGCCGCCAGGGGCGAGTCGGGCGCGGCGGGGAGCTTGGGCTGGGCGAGTGGAGGAGGCTTTTGGAGTTTGGAGGAAGAATGGGCTGCGGCCGGGCCGGGGCCGGCTGCGAGCTGTCCTGTGGGGAGGGGGGTGTGGGGCGTGCGGTGCCTGAGGGCCGAAGAGGGAGACTGGGAGCGCCCGGGACCCCGGGTGGGGCCGGCACAGGTGGCGGGCCTGGGCTCGCTGTGAGACGGAGTTGGTGACGGTCTCTGGAGCGTGGAGGGTTTTGGGGAGGGTGACAGCGATGGGTAAGCGCGTGAAGAGCAAACTAGTTCACCTTTCTAAGCAAAGCACTTTGGGGTGTAATGGCGAAGGGTGGGTAGCGGGGGAAATAGCAAAGATCGGCACCGTATACCTCTGCCGTTTATTATTGGTGTTTTCATGTGCGAAGCCAATGAGTGCACCTTTGGTGGGGGGCGGGAGGGGAAGAGGGATTTGAGAAACTGTAATTGAGGAATCAGTAATAGTGAAGGGGAGACGGAATTCTTCACGTTAACTGGATACGTATCGTGTTGGTGGGAATAAGTGGTATTTATGAAAAGTGTTTACTCAGGAAGTGTCATTTTTCTTTTTCTGATAATGCATACCACAGTGCCACTTCTACAGAGTTAACCTTGGAGAGCAGTGGTATAAGTAATCCTAATCTTTGGGATTAGTATATTCACTTGCATTAGATTTGCTTCCCTAATTATATCCCAATTATATTGAAATTTACATTCCTTATGAGCTCCCTGGTGAGGCAACGATGGGAGGCAGAACATGACAGTGTGCAAAGAGCAGCAGGCCTGGGATTTTAAAATGCCTACAGATATTCGTTCGTTCAACACATCTCGATCAGTAGCTGCTGCTGTTGGGTCACATGTGATTTTCCCTGTGGATATTGAAGAGTCGATGTCATTTAATTTTTAGTAATTTTTTGAAAATGTTCCATGTCTCCTTTCATAAAGATATTTATTGAATGAACCAACTTGCATAAACTCAGAAACAGACCAATTTTAGAATCTGATTTAGACAGGGGTAAAAATGACAAGAAATAACCACAAGTTGTTGGAGACATATTGTATCTTATTTTCCCATTATGTTATAATGCAGTGGAAGTTTATTTTAATATTTATAGTACACAGTTGCTTTGCCTTGCTTTAAGCACACCTGTTCATGGAAATCAAGGTTAAGACATACGCATACACATATATGAATAACATTCACATACATATATGAGAATGTGATTACTTGCAATACTAAAATACTCTCTCCTTTTACGAAAGGCTTACCATATGTCGAATTGCTCCCCTGAGGGAAAGATGATACAAAGTGTCCTGATTTTTTCTTTGACTGTTTGACACTTTGGAACATGATCAACCTTTCTGTGTTTCAGTTTCTTCAGCTATGATAATAGGAAAACCCCTGTCTTCCTCTAGTTGGCTGTTGTGAGCCTAAGAGTTAATAATTACTTTAAGCAGGTTGAAATTGCTTTAAGCAGGTTGAAAGGGTTATATATTTTTGTGACGGGGTAACAGCTCCTTTGTACTTCTGAAACACCTCTCACTCCACTTATACTTTCTACTTTGTGTTTAGGTGTTTATGTTCCTGTTATCTCCTGTTGAGGACAGGATAGCCCCTCTTTGATTTTATCTTTATATTTAAGGCATTGTGTGGGATTTCAGTTTTTAGTATAGGCTATTGACATGTAAATGTTTGTTGAATGAATAAATATAGGATTCTAATTAGAAAAATTAATTCATGTTACAACTTATCAGAATGCCCCTGTTATCTGCTGTGATATATCTATGTAGCTGTGATTCTCTCCATGTCCTCTGGAGGAATACCTCTTTTTAACTGGGTGTCTTACTAGATTTAATCATATAGTAAAACTTAAGTATTTGGCCTGCGCTCATTTTTAAAAAAGCACAAAATACTTGGTTAACTTGTGTTTGTTTTTTTTTTTAAATTAAGTTTGTTTTACAAGGCAATTTAGATTATCAAGTATTTTGAAACTTTTTTTTTTTATCTTGTGAACTGGTAAGATTTTCTTGCCATTGCTGTCTACAGTAGAAAGCAAAGGCCTTTGAATAGGCCAGGGATTTTTTTGTAGGTAAATGTCAAGCAGTTACTCAATTTTGTGTGTATTTTGTTATTTATTGAATAGTTTTAATTGTGTTTTCTCATCTGTCTTAATTGCAATTTCAAATTCTTATGCCTGGGGATGATAGGGATCTCACATATTCATTTATTTCCATCTGTTCTACTTCAAATATTGAATTTTACTAAAATGCAATACAAAGAAGTAGTAAACGTTGACCAGAATTTATTATGTATGACTTATTTGTTAGATAGAAATTCATGTATTTTAGTTTATTCACTGTTCAACCAGTGTCAACTGCCATTATGTTCAGGGCATATTACTAAAGGCTTGAAAGGTATAAAGTTGAGCAGATATGAATGACTCCATCTATAGATTGCCTGCTGTTTGGTCCTTTTCATATTTGAGGATGCAAAAAGTTTTACACGGATGGTTAAGAAAGCCTTTTGTTTCTTTTTCTGTAAGGATTTAGGAGTATTGAAAAGCTTCTGTCATGTAGCAATAACTGTGTATAGAGCATCTGGTTTTTATTTTAGTGTTCTTCTGGTGGTGGTTTTTCTTGAACATGGTTACTGTTCTTCTACCATTTTTTTCTACGCAAGAAGTTTGTATATTACTTGAATAGTTTTCAGATATATTTACTTGAATATTACTTGAATAGTTTTCAGATTTTTTTTTTTTTGAAGGGTCCTTTTTGCATTTGAAGGTAACACCATATAACAAACACCATGCCAATGTTTCTGTGGAGTTCTTCAGTTTGATTCTTTAATTTGTGTACTACTACTTTTACTTTAAAGTGATCTCAAAAACATCTGCATTGATTAAAATAAGATGCTACTAACTTACAGAATTATAGGATGTAGAGTCATGTAGATTATCTAGTCTTGTTTGTTTTACTGGTGAATAAACTGAGGGTCACAGAAGTGAAGTGATCTGCCTAAATTGTTGTAATTGGGCAGTAGCAGAATCAAATTTTTTGACATCCATTCTAGTGGTCATTCCATCATACCATATATACAGCATTACATGGTTTAATGTGATAATTGACAATTACTTAAAACAAAAAGTGGGGTGGATGGGGAATGAGAGATCACTTATTTAACTTAGGTATTGAATTTAAGATACTTCTTAATATTAAATTTATGAATTAAAATATAGTTTGAACAAATTAGTATTGATCCACATCAGTACTGTGGTCACTGAAAATAGTTTGCTTAACATTTTTTGGTTTTTCACTTTGCTTATCTTTAATGTGCTGTGAGGTATATCTTAAAACTGAGGTTATATGGATCTAGTGACATCTTATAGAATTTAAGTATTTCAGTGATGGAAATTCTGTTATGCCAGTGGTTAGGTATCTCTGATTCCCAAACAGGTGAAATTATTTTACAAAGTAGTTATTGTTTACATCACTCAAACTTTTGGAAGTTTTTTTAGATTCATTTTATTTATTTATGCATACAAGAGGAGGTGTAGGCCAGAGGTGTTTGTGGGGGGAGTGTTCACCAGAGACAGAGTGGGGTGCAGAACAGGCTGATCCACTGAAATACATTGCTGAGGGGAGCAGCAGGTGGGCTAGACTGGGGAGGTCTGCTGCACCACGTGGGTTAGCTCCCTGGCCAGGGGGATCTAACTCTTGCTGCAGTGGCTGCAGATAGCTTCATAGTGCTGAGACTTAACCCCTTGAGCCAGCAGGGAGGCCCTGGAATTTTTTTTTTAATTATGAGGTACTTTGATTGTTAAATAAAAGCTTACATAAATAGCATGATCATGAACTGTATCTTATTGCTTTGTAAGTATACATACCATAATTAACTATTTTGAAGGAAAAGACATTATTCTATTTATTTATTTATTTTTTTAAGAGGCATGTATTTATTTATTTATTTGTTTATTTTTTTTTTTTTTATTTGTATGTTTGTTTATACATGCACTGGGTACAGTCAGAAGCGCGGGAGGGTGAGAGAATTCACCAGAGCCAGAGCGGGGAGCAGAACAGGCAGAAGGACCGAAGTACACTGCTGAGGGGAGCAGCGGGTGGCAGGAGAGGTCTGCGTGCCATGTGGGACCCTCCTCCGGTGGTCGGGGAGCAGCCGGGGATCGAACCGGCGCCACAGAGGCTGCGGGGAGCTTC